CCCTGTTACCAGGGTACGTGTAACCCCGTTACAGTATCTATCAGAAAAGAACATAATGTCACGCATCACACGAGGATAAACGATTGTGTCTCTAGTATAATCAATTTCGATGTGTGAGAGTAGGTCCTAGTCTTGTCGATGTGTAGCTGAGGTTTGGGTGACTTCAGGAGCGTTTAATGTTTGTTTGGGAAGGCTCAGTTTTACACCTCAAACTGTGATAGAGATGGCGTCTATAGTCAGGTGAACCAAAATGGACTGCACGTTTGGCTAGTATCACTGCTTTCGTGTTAGCACCGCGTTTCCTTGTCTTAAGCTTACCATCTGACACACAGCGGGTGGCGGTCCCTCATTATGAACACCTCTATTACAAAATACGAGGTACGTTATACCCCCTTTGGTGGCAAACCTGGTTGAGATGGATTAGTGAGTGCGGTGAACAAGGTGGCCTAACATATACACAACGCTAACTCTTGCGTGCCCACGTGAAAACGTGCCAGAGGCCGAAGTTTTTCCGGCATTAATCAGCTCCGTTGGCTTGTTTGTCAGTTCATGTCAAACACCCGCAGTCCGATCGCATAGACTTTATCTTTGAAGATACGTCTGCTACTTCCGGTATTATAGTAATTTGTGGATCTTTTGAACACGAAAGACCATCTCGCTGCATTCAGTAACACTGTTGCAAGTGTAACTTCAACCAAGCATTTGCTTGACAGAGTTGAGTGCTGACATGGCTTACCGGTAGAATCAGGATGTGCGATATAATGGCAAAATTTTTGTATAAGGAGCTTGGCATCAGATTGGACACGTTTGTTGCACAATATAATTCAAACTGATGGTCAGACGAAGCATACAAATCGCGCTGTGTAGTATATTCTCTGAAGCACTTGCGCGGAGCGACCGCGTGTCTATAGCACAATACTTCCACTGATCTGGTCAAGTGAAACAGCCCTGAACGCGCCACTTCTGGCTTTATTTGCGTTATAGGAACAGTTGGTATAACCTCGTTTTTCCTTGTCACCGACAATGTGTAACGGGGTTACACGTACCCTTGTATGATAAGGTGGGTCACACAAGACGGTGTAACTGTACAAAGGTGTGGATTACACAAGTTGGTGTATTCACACAATGGTGTGGCTACACCGTAACAAGAAGCCACTACGTGGCAGAACTGTCAGTAGTTACGCATATTAAGAAGGTTCAACAATATAATTAGGAAACGCGAATATTTTAGATATAGGTGGCTTTACCACAAATTAGACGAATAAATACAGTTTCAATTTTGAACGGAAGAGCGTCTTCGACTTGGCTAAGTTTTTTTAGTACTCTAGGAGGTAGCGGATTGCGATCCGCTACACTTGTACTGGTTCTGGTATAGAACGTAATGTCGGAGACCTTAGCTTAGCTTCCTCAAAGCAAAGAGCTAAGGCAGCTCCGCTGCACTTGGTAGCATTCGTAGTCAATATACGCCTGAGACGTTACGACTGATCCTCTGTGAGGGTAGAGGGATACTTCTATATGCCCCAGGGCATGCACAACGGGCTTAACGAGCTGATGACCCTGCTGGACCCTGAGGGCATGGAGCACCTCGTTGCGGAAGGGCCCGAGGCCATAAGCGCGCCTAGAGACGTTTTCAAATTACGGAAATCTTCTGTTAGAGCACTTACAGCAGATGCTGTCAGCGTCGACTGCGTCTATGACGCTACCGTCGACAACTGATGATACCTTCCGACCCAGGCCGCTCATGGTGAGCGTTAAGAATTTCGAGGGTAAGGATGGAGAGAACCTCCTGCTCTGGATGAGAGAGGCCAACATGGCTATGGCATCATCCATGCTTCAAAACGAGCAACAGCGCATGGCGCTGGCTATCTATAGCTCGGGGGCCGAGCTCGGGAATGGGCACTAACGCGCGATGCTTCGCAGTGACCGTCTTCATGGAGGGCTTCCGCACTGGCGTGGCCAGAATGGAAGTTCTTCGTGTACATCCATCTTCTTTTGAAGAAGCGATGAACGTGGCATTGTATGCCGAATTCAACTTCAAGTCATCACGACTTACATGGAATGCACACCATCAGAGCACGTGGAGCGGGCTGAGCCAATGGTACTCAGCTATGTTGAGAAAGAGGAGGGAGAGCTCCAAGCTGCTGAGCAGCGTGTAAACCCCCCGACGATGTTTTGTTTGTGGAGACACGCGTCACCCCCGGACGGATTGTCCCTTGACCAAGGCGCGTAAAGCTTCGTCAAACCACCGTCTCGCTTCTAACCAGTCTGGTTTGACGCGGGGAAACAAGAACACCCAGTAGGCGTGGGGCGCCCTAATGGGGGAGAATTGCGTTCTGTTGAGCCTTAAAGGGGTAGAGGGTAGCGGGCCCAGCCCCGAAGAGTTGCGTGCTCTTGAACACGGAACGTGTGTACAAACCTGGCTTGCTGGTCGTAAAAGCGACCGTGAAGGGCTTTAATAAGCCATGAAAATCCTTATCGATTCTGGCGCGTCGGGCAATTACGCTCTACGCTCCAAGACCGAAGGAAGTCAGCTGTATGCTGAGGAGCTGGAAGCGCGATTTAGTGACACCCTCACTGTTCGCTTAGCGACGGGGATTTCTGTCACTGTGCCGAGGGTCCCTTTGGACCACGGTGTCAAGTTACTTGACTTTAGTAGCATAGAGCGCTGCTTAGTCCTAGACTTGGATGCAAGATATGACCTTATCCTTGGTATGACATGGCTGGAACACCACGAGCCATGAATTGATTGAAGGTCAAAGACCTTGAAGGCTAGATGCACGTCTCCTAGTGGAGCTTTGGTGAGTTATGAACTCACCTCTGCTAGGATCTGAAGCGCTTTTGGCGCGGGCACTGGACCGGGACGGTAAATGTGCTGGATATCGGATTATCCGAGTTGTCAAACACCGAAAGTGTTTCGGGCAAAAATCCCGAGCAAAACACGAGGCAGGAATGGTGCGCGAGAGCAAGTCTCCCCATTCGACAGCCAGGCTTTGTGTCCGGAAGCCGAACGGCACGTCCACGCTTGCCTCGTGCTTTGCTCGGGATTCTTGCCCAAAACACTAAATATATCCTAATGCCGATATGTACATCTTCGGTGCGGAAGAAATCCCATTTTTTAGGGTGATTTATTGGGAAGCGTTGCCTTCTAGCGGATCCCGCTAAGGTCAAGGTCATTTTGGATTGGTTGGTTCCAAAGAACCAAAAAGGCTTGCGCAAGTGGTTTGGCCTCACTTCGATGAACAGCTGCTAGCTCCGCAGTCTTCTTCCAAGTGACAACGTGCCACTCCACGCGCATCTGAAGGGATGCCTCGGACCTCGTCCAACCATGCCACTCGCGGCATGCAGCGACTGCTTCGATACTTGAGCAGCGCTCGGTGCTAGCGTCAATTATACGATCTATTGTCTTTGTTTATGTCGCATACACCACAATGCGCCCGAATTTGTCTTGTTAGCTCCAGCCTTTACATTATGTTGAATAAATGGCTGATTAGTCCCTTTTATCACTTGAGATGGCCCCGCCCATTTTTCTCGCCAATATTAACCCGGCAACACTTTCGTAGCAAATCATATATATATCGAAGAGGTTTATAGTCGTGTGCCAACAGACGACGCTATGGCTGAGAAACAGAATACACGAATACGACATAGATTTTCCCGAACTTGTCACAAACTCTATGATTATGTTGTGTGCATATCGCTTTACTGAACATGGTTAGCTAACAACCTATGCCATTTTTGCTGTTTATAAGACTAAGTTGTGTTATGTAGGCGAGCTTAAGAATTACCAAGATCCCACTCTTATAAGCCAATCTGATTTAAAGCGCACTTTGGGGACGGAGCAACATTTCTTCCAGCCTGTTTTTGGAGGTTTTCTCTGCTTTAGAGCATCGATATGGTTCTTAATTGATGAGTTACGGTAGCATGGAAAGATAATCCTAAAACTTGCCCTTTTAAGTATCAGCCGCGCGCCAAGAGGGTCAGACAGAGTTGACGAGCCGCTAAACCGAAGCCAGTCCGGTGTGGGGGGTTCTCCGCAGGCATTGCTCGATGAGCAAGTGGTTGTCTATTTCCAAATCGATCCACCGGGGCTTTTTTCAGTATCTGGTGAAAAAATGGATAATCACACTTTTTATGCTCAAGGTAGATCGAGATCTCATTTTGACAAGACCTCCCTGGTGCCGTCACCGGTCATGTCTCGGCGCACTCTTTATCGGTACCCCTTGGAAGAATTAACATGGTCACTCAACGAAAAGTGCTTGACCTTGATGGTAGCAAAACACATTGTTTGACGATCAAGGCTAAGTCGGCAGCTGTAACAGCTTGTTTGATGGACTTAAGCGTCTGTTACATCAAGAAGTTGAGGTGATTGAATTCCATCTTGATGCCACGTCTTGCTTTGTGCTTCGCAGCGTCAAAGATAAAAAATGATATCTGCTTCACTGAAGCTGGGCTAAAAAGCTGTTAAATAACTCATTTGACGTAAATCCCCCCGCGCAGTGCGTGATTAAACGCGGTACTCTTAGGCACTTTCGCCAGCATTCAGCGACAGAAAATCATTCTTAATCAGAGTACAAGTTTATACGAACGCTGCTGTTCCAAACGCAGGTGTTTCTCCTGGAAAATTGTACTTTGTGGGATCCGAAAATGCTCATGAAATGATGTTCGGGTGCTCGTTTCGCTCTCGGTTGTGGGCGAAAAGTCAACACTTACAGGCATGTAAGGCTCCTCCACGACGTAGCTTAGAAAATCAAACCGATAGTCATAATTTGATCAAGTCGGCGAAACTAGCTCATGCGTTTGTAAAGTGCCAGTTGAGCTCTCTGACAAGGACCAGCGAAACCTTCGGCGAGAAACCCTGATATCTGCGGCGGTATCTGAAAGAAGTGATTCCGGAAATTCAGTCTATGGAGTTGGCTGACAAGCTGAACT